ATTAATGAAAATTTTCATTTAAAATATTGAATTCTAAAAATTTAAAAAAAATTTAAGGAGGTAGGGCCCTGTTACCCGTCCCGGTCCCGCCTCAAACCCGTCGTGGGGCAAAATTCCCCGCCCCGTTATCCGATTAAGCGGGTTATCCCCTTCCTGTTCGGGGCGGGGTTGTGGGTATGGAGTTTGTCGGATTTTTTTGCCATCCCTAAGGTCGCTCTTCTAAATTTGGCCTCGTGTTTGGTGCTTTGCCATCTTGTAATGACATAACTTGTTTATTAAACACGTGAAGCCCTATTTTACTCCTTCGCGTCATGTTATTTAAGGGAAAATTTCATATTTGGTGGTTGTGATTGCTGGGATTGTGGTATTTTGGAGTGGTTGAAGGCGATACTGGTGGAAAAGAGTGATTTTGGTGGCTGAATTGTACTTATGCGGGGTGGTGGTGGATGGTCGGATGTTGAAATTCGTGGTTGATTTCCCTTTTTCTATAGGTGAGTCCACTTTTTGAAAAGATTTGAAGCTTCCACTACAAAATACAAATTCTTTTTTGTTGATTTATTTTTATTTTTTCATTTTTTATGTAAAAGGAGGGCAAAATTGTCATTTCACTCACTTCAACTGTTGGACAGATTCTGTCAACTGGGACGAACTATGCCTATTTCCTCAAATAATGAGACAATTGGTGCCATTTTTAAAGATTGGGGTATATCTGCAATAGTTTTGAAAGGTTGGAACCAAATGTGAAATTTCCCTTTGTAAACCGCCTTCTTCTGGTCCGACTGTCTGCTCAGTGAAACCTCGAGTAAACCCGCCGAGTCGCTCATGACCCGGTCTCTCTTAATGGATTCCTATTATGGAAGATCGCTTTCAAAGCGAATCGCAGAATCGGTGATCGGAAAATCGTGTCCAATATGCTTGAGACACGTGGAAGTTCGCGATGCAGCAGTGGTTATCCCATGTATGCACACTTACTGTATCCTCTGCATCCGCAGGTGGAGCGACTTGAAGCGAAAGTGCCCTCTTTGCAACACGGATTTCGATTCTTGGTTCTACAGAATCAACATTTCTACTAGAAAATTTGAGAAAGAAAAATTATTGCCGTCCGGTGAGGGTAAAAGGGTAAATTTGACTGTCCGGGATGATTACGTGTTCCGGAGACGGAGAACTCAAATTTTCCAACAAAGAAGGTTAATTATTTTTATTTAATTATGATTCATTTTTTTTAGTTTTGTTTGAAATACATTTAAGGGAAATTATTGAATTAAATGAAAACAAGATTGGGGGATTCGATTCTGAATTTTAGATGAATTGAGGAAAGAATAGTTAAAAAGCAGTATAATTTAGCAAAATTATCCCTTTCTTCTAATGAATAATAATGTAGATACTTTTAAGCTTATAGTATTATAATTTTTTAAAATTGAATTTAACATAAACGTTTTGGATAGGGAATATTAGTTATTAGAAAAAAATTGGTTTTGCTATGAGAAATCTCCTGTAAATAGTTATGAAACAATTAACAGGAAGCTCATTTTGAAATATAATGCAAGGTATGCTTTTCTTCTGCATTTTCTATTTTGTTATATAGCTCCACATAATTTGTAAACCTTTCTGTTGTTTCAATTTCTCGCCCAAATCTTGCTCAGGGTAATTACGAGATCCCGAGAAGAATCAAGCAATGGGAGATCTCAAGTGAGGCCGTTGCCAAGGCAACGATCATTTGGACATGAAAGTCACGAGCACCCTGATATTATTGCTGAAAGAGTCAAACAGTGGCGTGCCAGGTAGTATATTGCCATGAACATGATCTCATGTTTCTGAAATATGCATTTATCATAAGTGAAACCGAATGATTCGAAGATAATTTTTGATTCACACTGGTACATGTGTTTTCTTGTATGATAATTGGATTGTATGGTCTTTTATAGCATATACGAGCAGAGGTTGCAAGCTGTTCCCCTCTCTTCGAAGACAAGTCTTGTTCAGGTACATGCAATTTGCCAAGGCTATTATCTTCAATTTCATGAAGAGATTATCAATACGCTAGACTGGAGATTGGTCATCTGACAAAATTAAACCCAATAGAAGTTCTTACCGGAGTTGAAAATGATTAATTTCCTTCCCCTTGGACCCTGATACCTGAAACAGGGTGTAGATTATTTAACAAAGCTATTAAATGGAGTTTCTTCTTCGCTTAGTACCAATTTTATCGAAATTGTGATGTAAAGTTGACGTGTTAGTAGATAAGAATGTTAGTGGAGACTGATACAAGTATTTGTTTAAAGAATCGCCTTTTGTTTCAGTTATGAGTTAAACACGATTTTCTTTTTCAATAGACGTTCGGACCAAGCTTTCCTGTAAGGAGAGTAGGAATTGATGCAATACACTGAATTTAGTTAACCCATGGTGTTGCAATATATTAATGTAAATATTTTTAACTTCTCCCTAATCCATATTTTCAGAAAATGGAAGGGCATCATGGCATAAAACAAATAATACTTCAGAAAATAGAACCATGGATACGGAGGGAGCTGCAGGCTGTTCTTGGGGATCCAGATCCCACAATCATTGTACATGTTGCCACCTCGATTTTCATCTCAAGACATGAAAGGAAGCATGGAGGCTTTCCAGAACAAGTGGGCATTGAAGATGATTTTCTCGCACCTCTGCGGCCATTTATTCATGAGCAAACAGATATGTTTTGGCATGAACTTGGGTAAATTATCTGCACAATGTCTGTTCCAGCTTTATTCAGTACTTCTAAACTATCTTGAAGACTGAATCTATCTCATCTTACTATACCCTCAGACAAGTGGCCCATTTGATAGACATTTTTATCGTGACTGAGGTATCTAAATAAATTAAGCATATACAGTATGCTAGAAAATAAATAGGAAGTTATCCTGAATAAATTCTACGAGAGATTATCACTCACTCTTGAACAGATCTATGATTCCTGACCCAAAATAACCTTCCATTAGTGTATATGTTGGCTGTGTTTCATTTGTTTATTATTTTCCCTTTCCACTCCGTTCTGTGTTTTGTCTCTTTCTTTTTCTTGGGGAGGGGGACAGTAGGTTGAGTGTATCTGAGTTTTTTTTCTTCTGCTTATATATACTTTCTTATAGAAAAAGATCCAATACATTTTTGCAGATGTTTTGCAGAGAGCTCTTTCTCGATGGAAACATATGATACTGTGGTAGAATACAAAGCATTGGACTAAGAATGGTGGAATTACGCACAAGACTGCCTGATTCTACTTCAATGGAGGCTATCAGTTTGTGCAGAGGTTTATTCTTTGTTCAACATAAAAGGCTGCAGAATACAACGTGCTAATCCAAATATCCAATACAGGAATAAGATTGAAGCCATTAGCCGCAATGAAAATAGCTGAAGATTTTTTATTTATGATTGAAGCATACATCAGAATGAGGCAACAATGCATGGATAAATACTGCTTTGGACCGAACTCAGTAATCCCTTGATTCTGGATCAGAGATGCTAACAGGGCGGCTATCGAAATGGGGACCTCTCCACTTGGGGCTCCAAATCAGTGACGCTGATTGTTGAAGGTTGACTACATTGATGGGAATTTCCACTTTCATCTGTACAAGAGCTTCATGGGGTTTGGTTAAAATTGACATCTAGTCTTACTGGAGATCATGTTTGGCTAAGCTTATAAGTTACTTTTCTTTTATAGTTCTTGATGTGTACTTCTACAAAAAGAGTTGAAAATTAAGGACCAAATTTATACCCGTATATAAGCTACTTTTCTTTAATAGTCCATATCGTTCCTTATACAAGTTTAGTGGTCATATGATTTTGAGTTTTGCTGGGTGTACATCCGAGGTTCACACTCGGATGACAGTCCCCTCACAAGAGGGGAGAGTCAGCTGTTTTTTTAATTCGTGCGGCCCTCCTCTTGTGAGGGGCCTATACATCCAGGGTCAACAAGCAGAACTCTATGATTTTTGGTCAAGATTGATTTACTCCCTACTCCAAAAAGAGTACGAAACATAAAATAAACTAAATAGGGTATAATATCGTTCAAAGAAATTTTACTCTTTGTTTACCTCGTTCTTTTTCAATATTTTTTGGTAATTTAATAAAGGAAATTTAGGGCTTGACATTCAACATTTTTTTTATGGGTAAATGTAAATTATATTGATAAAAAATCAAATACAAGTACACTGAGTATACCCGGGCAATCAAAGATCAAGTACGCATACAAGTACATCGAGCATACCCGGACAATCAAAATGAAAAGATGTACAAACGACTTAATGCTATAGACTCACAATGAATCAAAACATGCGGATACAAAAAAAAAACTTAACTTTGTATACGTGTGTGTTAATCTGTCTAACAACGCTATCAACTTGCAGTCTTAGATACTCAAAAATTTTCTTGTTCCGTGCCGTACAAAATTGGTAAATGGTGCTCGCAAGTGCAATTCGCTTCGCCTTACTTTGCCAAGATGTGCCTCGAGCCTCCTTCTTAATCCATGCACTGTGTAGATTCTAGTGTAGACATAGAGCGACTAATGCCAAGCCACACACGAATCTTCCCCCGTACAGATGCACTGAACTGACGTGAAAAAAAGGCGTTCCGTCTCCACAGTAACTCCACAAAAACTGCAATTGCGATCTATCTCCAAGTACCTTAGTTTGTCCTTAGTTAACAACTCGGATTTAACTCCAAGCCACAGAATAAAAGCATGCTTAGGGATGACGGAAGCGTACCAAACAGTTGCTGCCCAGGTTGCATTCGGCCCCTTCAGTCTGAAAATATTCAAAGGCTGCCGCAATGCTGAAGCTGCCTGAGGCTGTCCAGTTAGCCAGCCTGCCTGTTGCGGCCAGAACGGTGTGTTCAGGCTGTGAAATCCGACCACGAATTTCCAGCAGCCTTTTAACCAGCGGAGAGTCTTCTTTCCTCGCCGAATACTCCCAAATGGCTGTGCCATGTAAAAAAATCTGATTTACCCACTTTACCCAAAGCATGTCCTTGCTATGAATGTTCCCAAGAGTTTTAGCAATGAGGGCCGCATTCCAACATTTTATCTATCTAAATCTAAGCCCTCCCTCATGTTTTGACAAGCAAATATTACTCCAACTAATGGCTTCTTAGATCCCCAAAGAAAGTTATGACAAAGACTCGCAATCTTTGATGCAACTGTGGACGAAATAGGAAGAATGGAAAGCCAAAAACATTCGACACCTTGAAGAATGGTTCTTACTAGTTCTGCTCTCCCTGCATAAGACGAAGAAACCCTTGACCATGCTCCAATGTAGGTTGAGATTTTGTTGATAAAGGAGTCATAGGAGCTAACTTTCAATCTTACCGCCACAAGTGGTATTCCCCAATAATGAAATGGCATAGAACCCTTGGCCATATTAATTAATTGGTGAATATCCTCCAACTCTTGTCCATGTACTCCCGCCGTATACAAGTTGGACTTGCTCACATTCATCCTTAATCCCGACATGTCTCCAAAATTGAACAAGAACTCCATCAAGATACCAACTGAGATAATATCCCCCCTAGCAAATAACATCAAGTCATCTGCAAATGCTAAGTCAGTTATCTTCAATTCTCCACATCTAGGATGATAATTAAACTCGTTACCATCGGTTGCTTCCTTAAACATTCTTGAGAAATATTCAAGGCAAATAACAAACAAAAAAGGTGATAAAGGGTCACCTTGACGAAGCCCCCTCCCCCCCTTAATGAAACCATAAAGGCCACCGTTAAGTGCAATGGAATAAGTAGGCGTGGTTATGGATTCCATCACCCATCCAATGAACTTTGTTGGAAAACCAAGACCTTGAAGCACACTACGAAGGAAATCCCAATTAACCGAATCATATACCTTCCTAAGATCAATCTTGAGAAGACATCTAGGAGCAACTCTTTTGCGGTTGTATTGCCTTAGGAGCTCTTGAGCTAGATGGATGTTTTGCCAAATTCAGGGTGGTTTGAAAGCAGGCACAATTCCGAGCTTCTATAAAAGGGTATAGATTTCTTGAACCACATTTTTCAGAATATAGTATCAAGTATGGTTGTCTAACAGAGAGGCCACTGGTTACCCACTCCTATCTGGTTTAGTTGTTTTGTTAAGAGATATTTTGACATAAAAATTTGTAAAGCATTCCCTTTTTAACTTGCTTTTATACATTGATATTTGGGGTCAGCTACATTGTTTCTTCAACTTCAATTTCTGTTTCTTGCTATTCAGTAACCTGAAGAAGGATTCACAAGTCAAAGATTCCAGAGGCTGGCAAAATTTCTATTTTTAAAGGTACTCGTGTGATTTTCTATCCTTTTATTTTCTTGCTGATATTGTCATCTTAATATCCTTTTAGTAGAGCATCTGAGTTTAGTATTTTTCTTTTTTTCCCTTTTTTTTCTTTTTAAAATTTACCTTTTCGTATCACTTGAGGATTCATTTTCAACTCATATCATTGCAAATGTATCGGTTGATGCTTAAACAACAAGTGCATAATGTGATTGTTTTGTTAATTAATCAATTGGGAAAGTGTCTCGAAGTGATTTTGGCTAATTATGATTTTGCAAACTTTTCTTGCTAAATGCTGATGATCTGGATGCTATGTATGTTTGCCTGAGGGAAAATTGTGTCATTGATGATGCAACTGGTGCTGAAAAGGTCAGTGATTTGAGCTAAGTTTTCTTTGAGGTGTGCTACAGACATTGAATTTGTCCAGTTACAGTGGTTTAGATAAAAGTGGCTGCTCTGTAACTTATGATGGAAGTCATAGTTGCATGTGCAATGCAATATTCTACTGAGCATATAACATAGTCACACAGACAATATAGAGACAACTTATTAGAATATAACAGTTGATTGGCCTTCTTCACAACTTGTGTATCAGTTTATGTTTTCTTAACTATTTCTAATGAGTAATTAATATACCAAGACCACGAGTTGTCCATATATGTGATTTTATGGTCATTTTAGCAATATTGCATGTCATTCAAGGAATTAGCAGAAGGCAGTAGATACATTAAATGTCCTTCTGTGTGTAAAAAGCGTGTTACTCTCTGTTTTCTGGGGGTGGCAGGTTGTCTTGCTTTTTAACTGGTTTCTCTTTTTCCTTAAGAAACTCTTTAACTTCATCTTATGAAATGCTTTTCATGTACACCGGGCTGTTACTTTAGATTATTATCACATGGAAACCAGAGTGTGGAGAACTTTACCAGCACAACTTTGAATTGCCTTAGGCCTTGACATTTATGACAGTAGTTTCACAGAAAGATGTGCTTTGTACTATAAATATGAGATCCGCTGACTGCAAAAAGAATGATAATTTCAATATACTCTGTAGTGTTCTTTTTCTCAATTTCTTTGAAATAACTTCCGGAAAACCAACTTATTTAGTTTGCTGTCTTTTAGATGAATTATGAAGACTTTTACCACATTGCCTCTGCGTGTACAGAGCATATAGGGCCTAAATGTAGACACTTTTTCAGTCCTTCTGATTTCATGAAGTTTGAGAAAGATGAATCAGGGAGAATTGCCATCCTACCTTTCTATCTTTATGTGATGTGCACGGTGGGTGCTGCTGCTCCTTTCATACAGAATGCTGAACCCCCTCCCCTCATGCATCGTATTTTTGGGCTTGAAAATTGTCTGATTTCAACAGTAGTTTGTAGTTTTAAATTACTCGGTTAGTAATATGTGCTGGCTGTGAATCACTTTGTTAATTTTACATATTAAATGAGTGTCGCTATGATTTATTCTCCTCAAAGATTAAGGCACCTTAAAATGACGTTCTTTCCCATTTTGTCATCACAAGATGGTAACATTGACACTTAATGTTTGTATAAAATAAAAGACAAATGAAAATTAAGCAAGAATCAGAAAAATAATTGGATTTGGTCTTGGATGTCTATGAACAACAATTCATTACATTTTTTGTACACTGTACTTGGAAAAGATTTGAGTCTTCAAAAAGACCACCACAGTAAAATATCCACTAATCCTACAATTTTAAGGTAACCCGTGCTTCAGAAGATAGTGGTCTCATGGTGTGTTTATGTCGGCTGACAGTACTGTCATCCACATAACTCGTTGATTTCTCTTTCAAATGTTGTATTCTTTTGTTTCGTCTTCAGGTTTCACTTACCCAAGCCAGGATTGATATGAGTGAGCTCGACGAAGATTCTGATGGGTTCCTTCAACCTCATGTATGGTCTTTTCACTTC